TGAATTGTTATCTTCTTCACAGAGAGATTCTCGAGGATGATGCGTCAAACATGTTGACTTAGAGCTTGTTTGGTTGTGGTGTTTTTTTGAGCAATATTGTAGCCGTAAGGCTGCAACAGTTGTTAGCCCTTAGGTTTTGATGATGTTTTACAACCACCATTATTGATACTAACTGCTTATTGAGTGCTATTATAGTTAATATATATATCAAGGTTGTTAGTACCATAGATGGAGGATTGGATGGAATATAGCTACAATGATGATATTCAAAGGAGGTGAAGGCATAGTGATGAAGCAATGTTAATTCAAGAGCAACAAATGCAATGAGAAGCTTCATCAACTCAAGCTATATCAAGACTCAATGAATTGTAATTCTATGTGAGGATATTAGCTAGTTTTTCTTTTCTCTCTAGTGCTAGAATGTAGGAAAGTAGTTTTAGTTTTCACTTGAACCTATTGGGATATCACACACACACTTTCATACTTATATTTTTGAATGTTTTGACAAAATATACATTTTCACAAGTATGAGGACCTTTTCGTAAAATTCCTTTTCCAAACAATCTGTTTTTAGTGTTAAAAATATTTTACAAAGTTTCACAATTTTTGGGAATCATCCAAATATTTTACAGATTTTTTATAGAGTTAAAAACAGGTTTTAAAAATAGTGTCTGTGTGTATCAGTTCGCGGTCGACCGCCACGGTCGATCGCGCCTGTGTCTTTTCCTGAGTGGTCAGCAGAAACATTCACGGTCGACCGTTAGCTCGAAAATTCCCACGGTCGACCGCAGAAGTCTCTAAAAATTTTCCAAGTTTCAAAGCTGGCACGCGGTCGACCGCGAGATTTGTACGGTCGACCGCCGCTTACTCAAACGGTCTTTTTGGTACAAATTTTCAGCGCTAATTTTTTCAGGTTTTGGAGGATTTGGGTATGGGTTTAAACTGATCTGTTTTCTCCTATTTAAACTATCATACCCCTCTTCTCTCAAATGCTCTTGTCCATTTTGAAATATCCTGCAAACATATTTACTGTTTTCAAAAGAGCCTTAAACTTACAAACATGTTCTCTGTTTTTCAAGTTCACATCCCAGCTTCAGTGTAATTTTTCTCCTTGCTATAGGAACATTGTAAAGAGAGAGTTTTACACTATTACTACTGTTGTGAGCTTGATCTTGTGGAGATTAACTATGTGGGAGTAAGATCTTATGGTGATCACTGTGTAGTTGGGAGATCTTGTGGAGATCGTTGTGTAGAAGAAGTTCCGGCTTTCAAAGTGGGTTGTGTAGTGGATTCTCCTCGAAAGTGGGGAGCGGGGACGTAGGTCAGCGGGCCGAACCTCGTTAACACATCGCGCGTCACTTGGATAACGATTTCTAACTCTATCTCTTTTGCTATAGTTGTTTATTTTGTGGTTTGTTGCTTGTCTCAATTTTTATTGCACTATTATAGCCTTAAGACCCTAATAACCCCCCTCCTCTAGGGTCCAACAACAGTATCACATATTACGTTGTTTATTTGAACAAATTGGAGGGTGATGTGGCAAAAAAAAAGCTAGTGGGCAAGCTTTATGCAATTCCCTTCATATTGATTTATTTTGGCTACGAATTAGTGTAGCTACCAGGATGATGTGAACTATTCAACTCATTTCACTTTCAAAAGTTTTTACACTAAGGTTGTTCGGTTCCTAATTTCAGGGGAAACCCCATTTTTATTCTCCTTCCACCTCTCGGAATTGATTTTTTTTTGTTTGATTGGAGCAAAAACAACCCCAAGTCCTAGAAAACCACAATTTTCATTGTTTCATTGGGTGCCTAAAAAATAGAAAATCATAGAAATAAGAAACAATTCAATTCACTAGTAGGGATGAAATTTTTAATTTCACCCTGTTCGCGGGGAAAATTGTTTTCATTGACGTCATTGTTTTCTCAAGCAACAGTTTATCGGTTACAAAAGATCCGGTCTTTTTATAAGATCCGGTTACAACAAAATCAAAGAAAGAAAAAAGATTACAACTTTCCTTTGTTCGAATAAATCGCAAGATCCTGTTTTGCGGTCTCTTGGTTGTGTAGGTTCTTTGCCTGCGCCGGGGTTAATCCGTGGACCACCGCGCGATCTTGATCCTGTCGGATCTGCACGGTATGATGGGTGTTATTTCACGAAGGAAATAACAGCCGAGGGGATTATTTCACCAAGGAAATAATAGCCCTAAGTAATCGAATTCGACCAAGCGAAATCGATACTCTTCTCGGGATCAAAAACCAAGTTTTGATCTGGAGGATAACCGTGTGGATCTCAGATCTAATCTCTCTCGAACTCCTGCCTTTTTTAACGTGGATGATCACCAAGAACCAGATCTAAAAAGTCCGAGTCTTCAAAGCTCCAAAACTCCGAAGTTCAGTTCTTAATCCGGCAGAGTTTCACCTCAAAAATTCCAAGTCCTTCAAACAATGAGCCTAGGGATCTATTTATAGGCTCCTCAAACCAGATCTGGGCTCAGATCTGGGCCAAGATTTGGTGGGCTCGGCCAGGTGGCTCGGCCACCTAGGTGGCTCGGCCACCTAGGTGGCTCGGCCACCTAGGTGGCGCTCGGCTTTGGCCGGGCCACCATTTGGTGGCTCGGTTTTGGCCGGGCCACCAAGTGGTGGCTCGGCCACCGAGCCACCCAGAGGTGGCTCGGTCAAGGCCGAACCCTCCTGGTATTTGATTTTGTGCCGTTTTCCGGTTTCGCGGTTTATCCGAACTTCATTGTTGATCTGGACTCTGATTTGGTAGTCCGGATCCTGATTTGGCAGTAAATCTGCTTTGGTGTTCGAGTTCGAGTCCGCTCCCGATCTTGTTTGATGTGGTGGACTCTATGGTTGGATGACTCGTTGTTTCATCGACCCGTTAGCTTGATTGGGCACGTGATTGGATGTATTCCGTTGTTTGCGTGCGGTTCGTTAACCTCGTCGCCTCGTTAATCCGCTTCGTCGCGTGTCACTTGGCTTCGGTGTTGTGGTCTAACGACCATGCTTGGATATACCGCCCGATGATTCGTTGGTTTGTCGAATCACTGTGCCGAGCTGTGTTAAGGGACCTATCAGAAGTTTTATACGCCTACACACCCCTACTGGCATTTTTAATATATTAACCCAGACTGAATTAACTACTAAAAATTAGAAAAACCGCTATGTATTCTAAAAATTCCGTCCATCCCCTTTATCTCACTTTACCTTTTTTGTTAATTACCAATTGTAACGCTCTCTTTTCTTATAAATTATCGTTATCTTCACTATCTCCACACCAATTCCCCTCATCATTCCTCTCCCCCTTCCTTACCCACCCTCTCAATAGGGTGGGGGGCATCAAGCTAGAAAAAAGGGTGTGAAGTGGTTTAGGAAAAAAGAATGAAAGGAGGGAGGTAGGGAGGTGGTTCCGAAAGAAAGAAAGAAAGAAGGGGGAGAAAGAAAGAAGGGGGGGGGGGTTGGAGGATGTAAAAATAACAATGCGACACACTACGCTTTTGAGATATTTAGTTATTTTCCAATATCTATTTACCAAATAGGTAGAAAAAATCAGAAATTGAAAACATATTTCAATTTTTGATACATTTTCTATTTACTTTTGAGTTACTAGAGAGTCATTACATTCTCAATCTACATAGTTAAACATAATAAATATATTTATTCTTACCAATTACATCCTTTAATCGTATTACCCAATTTTTTCAGCCGCAACCACAACAAACCACGGCGGCAAAGAAGAAGACCTCCCAATGCCGCAAGAAGATCGCGATCGAGAAGATCCAAAGCGAGGAAGCACAACACATGTGCTTCTCCAGACGCTGCAACGCCATTTCCACTAAGGCCACTGGTCTGTAAATCGTATGCGATACAGATAGCTGCGGCTGACTCACTGATCGGTAACTCGTACTATTTCGAAAGTCCAAAGTTTCCCCGGCATATAGATCTCAAAATAACCCCCTTCACTTTTAGACCTTTTATTGTTCTATTCATGATATAAGCTAGTCATCAATGCTTTCATATTTGTAAAATTACCCTTTAAATCTTAGCATTAATTTGCTAAAGTGTTTAGGCATGAGGGCACTGAGGTCAAAACACCCATCATGTGTTAGAAAATCTCAATCTAAAAGAATTTGAGGGTAAGTTTATAATTACTAAGATGTTGAGGGTAATTTTGCAAATATATATGATTTGAGAGGTACGTATGCAGAAACCGTTTATCTAATTATTGTGCTCCATTACAAATTACTCATTTCACTCTTATTTGGTGATAATGAACAGGACCTAAGATCCATTCACCGAACAATCAAGAAAACCAGTAGGAGTAGCATGTCCAATCGAGAAGGCGACATGTGGCGAGATGAACGCCACCGCCACGTTAGCATGGCAGAGCGGGACAAGTCAGTTGCCTTGCTGAAAACGTCGTTACGGCGTTTGGAGAAGCACACGTGCCGTTCTCCTTTGCTTTTGATCCTTTGGATCGCGATCTTTTTTCGACCGTGGGTGGTCTTTTTCTTTCTCGCCGTTGATTGTTGTTGTTGTGGCGATATAGAAAATATTTGGTAAATGGGATGAAAAGAAAAAAAAATGTATGTATGAGTTGATGTATTGAAGGACGAATAATTGGTAAAGAGTAAATATGCGTTCTGTGTGCTAGGTGTTAATTAGTAATTTTTATTGTTTTAGATTCAATGCATGTTAATAATATACTTGGAAAATTTTGATGTTAAAAGATGTGGATCTTAAATAAGAACTACAAGTGTATATTGTAGCGATTTAGTGGAACAGAGTAAATTTTACACTAATCATCTTCATTTCTTCAATTACTCCAGACAAATGCACCCAAATTTTTTTTTTCCGAACAATAAATAACAGTAAACGTATAACAGCTAGAAAGTCTCGTTTATTAACAATCTCAAAACTCTTATTACCCATCCATGATTTCAATCAAAAATTAATGTTAAAACCAGCTAATTAATTGTCGACAGGGGACGGAATTCAAAACCCGCGCCCGAAACCAAAGCGGGGATCAGGCCACCCGAACTGGAACTGGCCGTCCATCATCCTCAGAGGATTCACAGCCATTGGAGCATTGTTCACGGGCACCACAGACGAGGAAGAAGCTCCGCCGCCTCTCATCAGCTCGCCGAGCCTCCTCTCACCCTGCGCCCTGACCCCTCTCAGCGCCTCCTCGGCTACCTTCAGCTCCCTCGAGCCAAGCCCCTGGTCAATATCATCGACGAGCTTGGCGTAGGGGTTTCTCTCGGCAGCCTCCCTCACCCGAGCCCCCATCTCAGCCTTCCTAGCATTGGCTAAGTCGAGCCTCCTGGAGAGCTCCATGCACTGGGCATTGAGCTCGCCTATCCTGCTCGCCCTGTACGGGTTGTTCGGCTCTAATGGCATGGGGCTGCGCGTGGAGTAACGGTCAATAACCTGGTTAACCCCCGGGCTGCCGAGGGAGTAAGGGTTGCCGACGGGCGAGTTTACGATCACCGCAACCTCGGCCCCACAAAGGGTGGACAGGTCCGCCGCCTTCGTAAAAACGCCGTTCCGACGTTTAGAGAAACAGACGTGCCTCGCTTCTTCACTTGCGATCCTTTGGATCGCGATCTTCTTCCGACCGTGGCTCGCCTTCTTTTTCCTCGCCATTTTTGTTTTTGTGTTGCGGCTGAGGAGAGGAATGTTTTGGTATTGGATTAAATAGAAGGGTGAATGAGTAAAGGTCGATGTATGATGGATGAATAATTGGTAAGGATAAAATTGTGTGCTGTGTGCTGGGTGGCAATTGGTTTCCTTTAATTTATAGTTAGATCCAATGTACGCAGTTGGAAATTTGGATGTACTTCAACGAAGTATTTTTGGGAGTCCAGTATGATAAAAAAAAAAGGTTGTCAATTTATACATATTTATAATACACTGGTATAGTGCACGTGGTTGCACGTAGTCATTTATACTTGTTTTATGTTCTAATTTTTAAATTTATAGTGATATATTAAATATTACACATATTTGTAAAATAATATAATTTTAAATAATAAAAAAGTATTATTTTAATTAGTACTTAAGGCAAATCCTATTATACCTCTAACTATTCAATTTATTTCTAATTGTTAACTAATCTTAAATTTGACATTAATTTATAATTTAATTAATATTAATAGGGAGTAGGAACAAAATTTATTGTTCTAATAATATAGTATTGATATATAAATAAGATAACAATAGAGAGATGAAATATACAGAGAGTGTACAGTGAAAGTTTAATTAAAATTAATGAAATCTCAGGTTTATTACAAACTCTTAAAGGAGCTTGGCAACTTGTTCCTAATTTCAAATTAACTTATTAATTGAGGAGCTTAATAGCAATTTCAATACTTTGAGGGACTAATTCAAAATAGCTTTGGAGAGGGACTTGATATTAATTTTCTTATTTGAGGTACTTCAGAATATCAAAGATTTAAGGAACTGAGGGGTTAATTTTAGAACATCAAAGATTTAAGGAACTAATGTCAGTAAAAAGTCTATTATTTTTTGTAATTTTTAATTTGTATTTGTTAACTATTTAATACTATTTTCTAATAACAATATTAAATTTTAAAATATTAATAAATATATTAATAGTCCTAATAATTTATTTATTTTATATTCACTATTAAATAATCCTTTTAATTTATGCAGTACAAATCCACAACAGCCCTTATATGTCAATATCCACCTAACTTAATATTGGATACTCATCAAATTAACTATACATGAAAAGAAACAAAACAAAACAATCACAATATTTGTTTAATTGCAACCTAATAATTGAGCAACTTTCCATTGATACAATAATAAACAAACACATCATATTTAACCTTAAATTAGATAATATTCATACATTCATACATGCGACCATATGATGGGCACTGACAGCGACCCTTCACCCTTGACCACCACCACCTACATTGCCCCCATAACAGACCGTATCTCCATTGCCCGCTCCACCAGTGTCTTTCCTAAACGATCTTCTCTGCCTCATTCCAGCATTACCTCCTGTGTCACCATTGATCCAAGACCTTCCATCTATTCTCCCATCGGCACCAGCTTCACCAAAGCATCCACCACTACTGTCAAGTTTGGCCACCAATGAAAGCTACTTAATAAATTTAGTTGGTAACAATAAAAATAGTTTCACTTTTAATTTACTATTTGCATTATCAGAGCAATGGAGAATGAATAGCAAGGAGGAAGAGAAGAAAATTACTTACTCATTTTAGTTGGTAATCTTGAGTGAGCCTTGCTATGAGTGTTGGGGGGATGGAGAGGGGGTTATATAGCCATTAATTGAAATAGACGTTGTTGAAGGAATTTTTTTACCATTAATTGGATCACTGAATTTTTCTTGAGGTTACCAACTATACTACTGATGAACCCCTCTTCAAATCCTACTTTCATGTGAAAATAACCGTTACATTTTACTTTTTATGTATAAAAGTAACAGTAATAGTATGAATTGAAAAGACTTGTGAAATAGTGGAGAGGGTGGATGGAGGAGGTCATTTAAGATATTAAATGTAGAGAATAAAGGTATTTAATTAAGAAAACTATTAATAAGATAATTATTAAAAATAATTATTTTTTATTTAAGTATGCATGTATGTTCATGTATATATGTGTTGTACGTAAGTATGCATGTATTTTGGAGGATGTATGCAAGTGTTTTGGCGGGTACATTGGGAAAAATGTTTTAACATGGCAACCCACTTTATAATAGTATTAGAGAATAAAGGTTTTTAATAATTTTTCTTGAGGGTGGATGGAGGAGGTCATTTAAGATATTAATTGTAGAGAATAAAGCTATTTAATTAAGAAAACTATTAATACGATAATTATTAAAAATAATTTTTTTTATTTAAGTATGCATGTATGTTCATGTATATATGTATTGTACGTAAGTATGCATGTATTTTGGAGGATGTATGCATGTGTTTTATTTACTAGGAGAGATACACATGCATTGCACATGGTTATTTGTTCGACTTATTTCTTTAGTATAACTTGGTTGTAAAAGTGTTTCTTTTAAATCTCAACTTGATGATGTAATATTATATGTGAAAATTTTTTAATACTTAAATTTATGTACTTTCAGCTTTCATTTTATATGTCATTGTGATCTGTAGGCTGTCTAAAAATCACAATAGATAGCTGATTCCCATCCAAACACCGATGATGGAAGTTACACTCTGACGACTTCCAGAAGGTTACAATTTGAAGACTTCCGTAGATCGCTAAAGTTAAATCTGACGACTTCACGACAACTGATGAAGCTCTAATCAAACACTTCATTAATCAACATCGTATTACCATCTGCCGACCTCATATATCAGAGAGTAAAGAAAAGATTACAAATGGAGATCTTGTGCAACGGCTTCGACAGAAAGAGCTACAAATCGAGCGCGGTCTCTTCAAATCAAGCTGAGGAGTCTCCCCTAGCATCAAGGCATCGCGTATGCCCACGAACCCAGATAAACGCAGGTCATACGAGGCCAACGAGCTCAATCGCTGGCAACCAGCTCCAATCGCTACCCAACGCCAGCTCAATCGCTGCCAAACGCAGCTCCAATCGCTACCCACGCGCTCATATCCGCTGCCCACGCAGCTCCATCGGCCAACGAGCTCTATACAGTAAAAGACTGTCTCTGCCAAACAGTAAAAGATGTCTCTGCAAACATAAGACTGTCTCTCCAAACAGTAAAAGCTGTCTCTCCAAACAGTAAAGAGACTGTCTCTCGAAACAGAAAGACGTGTTCTTCAAACAGGTAAAAGACTGTTCCCAAACAGTAAGACTGGTCTCTCCAAACTAAAACGTCTCTCTTAAACAGTAAACGAGTGTCTTCCAACGATATACACACTCGTCCTCAACCAAAACACTGTCTCTTCCAACACAGTAAAACCACTGTCTGGCGAGACAGTAAAACCGTCTGGCCCGACAAGCAAACACTTTTTTTATGTTCTTTTTATCTTTGGATGATCTCCTTTAAAGGCCTGATTGGATATCCTTAGCATTCTTTGACGTATACACGATACCCTCCAAAGATTCAGACTCATCTTTATAAGACGGAGTCTGGATCTTTGGATAAGATAGATTTATCTGCAATCCTTCAAGGCTTGATTAGTAGCTATACGGCGAGGACCAGTAATGCTTCAACTCTGACTCGTCATCTTTTACATATTCAGTGCTTTGTAGAATAGTAAAATTCCCCCGTGCTGCGCTTATCGCGTGACGTCGTTCGAGTCTTGACTGGAACGCTATTGAACGAATAGAGAATAGTATACTCATCTACTTTATTGGAGTTTCGGCGAAATTATTTAATCATACCGTTCGGGGTAATAGGATTTTAAAATATTCTGAGTAAATCTCCAGAAACTCCTTTTGATGGTTAGGACACATTAGACTCGTGCGCTCTCAAGAGAATAACATAACGGAGCAAGTTTTCTCGTAACTCTTTGGAGCATAAACAGCACGAGACGTATTATAATATCGTGTAACATAGATATAAAATATGGGTTCTTATAATTAAATACTCGTTGGTAGAAACGATGACCCCCGATGACAGAGACAGAGATATATAAATATCTCTATTCCTGCGTCTCTATGTTTGTTGGTAAGATAAACCGAATCCGCGAGAGGAAGATTTATATCCATTACCCTCCCGCCTCTCTGCTACATCCTGACATGGAACGATAACAAAGAAAATAAGAGAGGATATGAATTTTATGATCCTATTCCTCTGCTAAAATCTAAAATGATTTGTTGCAGAGATAAACCAATGAACTCGGAGGAAGTTTTAATTCTTCTCTGGCTCTTGTTTGTTGGTAGAGATAAACCAGATGAGAGGAAGAATTTAAATATCACTATATCCTGGATTACTTGTTTTTGGTAGGAGATAGAACACGATAGTCGACGAGGAAGATTTTATATTTAACTCCTCCTAGTAAAAAGGAAACTTAAATAAGTGGATTTTCTATTCAGAGAATGATAAGGGTTGATCAATTGAGACTGGAAGCAAATCATACTTTATATTAGGGTCTTGATACAATAGAACGCAAATCGCAAAAAATGGTTTCGCCTCTTGTTATGAAGGAACCAAAAAAACAAATCAAGAGATGCAACATATTATGAGCCTAACCTCTCGCTAACTAAACTATTTTTAAAGTTTGACACAATAAGAATTTTAAGACACGAAAATAAAACCCGCATATATAAAACCAGGTATTATAAGAATAAAAAAATATAAAAATTTGTGCCCTCTCGTTCATGGGAACGAATCGACGAGGAGATTTTGGATTGGTCTTAAAAACACAATATGTATAATAAAAGGTTGACACATGATGGGAGTTTTGAGATGATCTAATGTGTTGTAAAGGTTTAGATCTCAGCCTTAAACAGATTTGTGGACACTCTCTGTTTCATCAAAAGAGAACAAAATAACGAAAAAAAAAGCATTTGTGATTTGGTCTAACTGTTTAAAAGGTTTGAGCAATGGGATTTCAGAGACGATCCATAAAAAAGTTAAAGGTTGACGTTTAATTGGTGGAATCTCGTTCAGGTGACGAAATCGCGGAGGGGATTTGGATTTGGTCGCTAGACTGTTTACAAAGGTTGA